TCATATGATGGGTTAAGTTTAGGTTTTGTTACTTGACTATAGAACTAAGATAGTTGAAGTTGTTGTGATAGTTTTTGGTTAGTATGTTGCTTTTGTTGTAATAGTGAACTTGATGTAAGAGTTGCTATTGTTGTAAGTTATTGGTTAGTGTACTGAGGTTGATCTATATCATTATTAGTATTAGTTGTTTCTATAGGAATTATTAAGGAAGGTATAAACTCAGAGGTAAGAGAGTTATTTAGTTGATAATTATTTAAAGATTAAATAGATTGTTGAACTGAAGGCTTGTGTTATAAAGAAGAGCCTTGTTTAGAATTAATGATAGGTTGAGGGTTAGGTTAATCAGTTAATTTGGTTTGTTTATAAATTTCAAAGAGACAGTTGTTATGATATGCTTTATTTTTATAAAACATAGTTTCATTTTGTAATCCATGATTGTTGTTAGTAACTTTACAATTAATTGAAATTTGACATGTAAGACAAGTATGTATGTAAGTAGTTGGTAAAACATTTGATGTAAATTTGTAAAGTGCTTGTTGAAGTTTTTTAGTTTGTGAGTTGGTTGTTGTTGGTTTGATTATATTGGTAATTTCATATGTTTTGTTATTTTCTAAGATAAATTGAGTATGAATAATCCAGACAAACACTTAATGGTTTTAGTTGTTGAGAGAACTGGAAAGAAATGTGTAGCTAGATGGATTTTCAATTCCATAGTAATACATTTAGCTGGCTTGTATTTGTTAGAAATAGCTCTAACATTTTTGGGTTCTTTTTTATAAATAGCAATTACATAGAAGCCAGTATAGTTTTCAAAAAAGTAATCAAGGTCTAAAGTGTCAGGTGCTACAATACTAAGAGTAGGCATGTTAAGTAGACTGAAGTAACTAGGTTATAATTATAACTTTAAAGTATATGAATTGTTTTGTTATTACTAGTTTCTAAAAAACTTTTTTAATTATAAAAGCTTTTAAGATATTTAGGAGAATTTTGAAAGATGTAAGACAAATGTAGGAGCCTGCTAGATGTTTAAGAAATTTTAATGGGTAACAGAAAAGTGAATTTTCTGGGACAACCCAATAGATTTTTCTAAAATTGCCAATAAAAAAAACCTGCAAAGACAGGTTTTAGTTTTTGCCTTTTTAAATGTATTTTGATGAGTTCTGGTCTGTTTGTAATAAAATATATATCAAAATGATCACCTTGAGGAGCAGAATGTTTTTCTAATAGGCAACAAAGTATGTTTAATTAGTAATATTTTAAAAAAAGCAAAAACTAAAGATTTAGTTTTTAGAACTTTTTAGTAGCCAGGAAATATTTAGGCTTAATACTTAGCTGGCTATAATGAGAAAAGTGTGCTGAACAACTTTACTTAAGAGCACAAATAAGGATTGCTTAGTAAATTATTGAAAAAAGATCAAATGTTTTTAGCAAGAATTTGTAAAAGTGATCTACAGAAAGAGTTTCTAAAAAGTTTTTTTTGCTCTATTTTTCTATACTTCTGTATTCACATGCTCTGTATAGTACTTACATGTTTACTTTGTTTATACTTACATGTCTTGTTTGTTACTTTGCTGCATATGCCTTTGTTTATTTTTAATTTTGTGTAATTAATAGATATACAGAAACAAAATCAAGATGAATTTCTACTTTTTCAAAAAACTTTTGCAATTTCATCAAAAATTTTGTTTTTTACTGTTGCCTTTTTTGTAATAATTTACTTTTGTTTTTCAAATTAGTTAACTGTATTTTATGTGCCTTTATATTTTTTCAGAATGCTCTAAATGTTGTTTACTTATATTTTTTAATGTTGTTTTGTGTTTTTGCTTTTTGTAAAATTTAACTAAGGGATTTACAGAAAAGAGTTGCTAAAATTAACATAATTGTATTAGTTATAGTTAGTTTAATATGTTATATTATTATAAAAAGTTAATTATAAAACAGTTTTGTATTATTTAGAAAGAATTAATATAATGAATAGTTAAACTAAATAACTTGTCATATTTTATATTATATATATATTAGTTATAAATAAAACTTTATAAAATAGTAATCATAGTGTAGTAGTTAGGTTGTTATTCTCCAAATAACAGATCTAAGCTTCAAATCTCACTTATAATAAAATTTAAAAATTATATCTGCATTATAGTAACTGTCTTCTATTAATTGGTTAGCCTAATGCAGCTATAACTCAGATATATCAAGTTGGGTTATACTCAACATTGGAAGCTTAAAACATTTATGTAAGGTGTATATAAAAAAATGTTAATAACTGGTATTGCATAAGATTTTAGTACAAACCCATGATAAGACCATTAAATGTAAAAGACTAAAAAACTGAAATAACAAAAACCCACTTAAAAATCTTTGAGTAAAAAGATAACATAGATTTTTAATAGTAATTAAAGTTTACAAAATATCTTTATAGAGACAGGTTGATAATCTAGATGCCAAATATGTATAAAAGAAAGCATATAACCAATTAGACTGCTAGACTTATTAGAGAAAAAGAATACAGAAGTATTTCATACTAGGCTATCTGGATTGGTAGTCTGGCTAGAGTTTGCTAATTCCAAATAGGAGATAATAAAGAAAATGCTAAGAAAATAAGTACTAGGATCTTAGTAAACTTTACAAATATAAAAAGTATATAATATAGCAGTTAAACAGATAATTCTGTAATTGCAAATATTATATAACTATAACATATTGCATAAAACTAGGTTAGCTATATGTAAAATATAACAGGCTCTAGTAAGTCTTCTGTCAAAGATAAAGTAGTTTTAAGAATACTAATGAGTATCAGTACTTAGATGAGCAACACTCTGAAAATGTTCTTATAATACAAGATGAATTGCATATATAAAGGGTTTAAATAGCAATTATCTTTAGCTAGCTTGCAGATATAACATCTAGTATAAAACTTATATAGTAATGTATAAGCAAACTACTTAAATTAGACACTAAAAGTGCACATGTGGCTAGTTGTAATTTTTAATGTAAGAAAGCTTTTAGAGGCAATATATATCTTATAAACTTGAATAAAAATATTATATTCCAAAGTTAGGAACTTTAACTTAAAAAAATAAAAATAAAAAATAAATAAAACTTTATTATAATTTTGCTAATAATTAAATTTATTTTATTTTTTTAAGCTCTACAGTTAGGTAATGTGCTCTAAAATTAGATAATAGCTTAACAGATATACAGAAGAGAGGCAAAATGTTAGGTTAGATAGATCTAGGTGTATAGAAACCAAGGTAGCTAATTGTCTGATTGCAGTATAGAAACCAGAGTTTTAATTAAATAGTCTTCTAGTAGATTATAGATATAGCAGCTAGTATAGAATCCTTGGGTAGACTACTTAAATAGGTAACTAAAAGTTACATATATGGCTACTCTATAAAAAAAAATTATATAGAATAAATTATATTTTTGTTAAGTTTTATACAACTTATATTCAAAATAGATTTAATACAATACAATATTTGTATTGAAGCAGAAAAACTAAAAAATCTATAAAGTAATAATAATTGTATAAAAATATACAATTCAATAAATTTGACCAATAATTATGCAAAATAATTGTACATGATTCTATAATATTAAATTTGGTTAGTAATTATGTATAAAAATTGTACAGAAATAAGCAATATTATAGTCTTGTTTGTATTATAATTATGTTGTAATTATATCAATATTTGTATAGTAATTGTAACAACAGTTGTATTGCAATTGACTCTAATTTTATTACAGCTGTACTGTATAAGTTTATGTTAATAAACTATATAGTTTTATTTTAATCTTTAACAATTTATATGTGAATCTGAATTTAACCTGGTCTTGTGTTACAGCTCAACTAACAAGCATGGAAGAAATTGTAATTTATCACATTTATTGCATTTATGACATTGTTGCATTTATGAAATTTGTTATATAAATTAGACATATAGTATATAAGCCATTTACTTGTAACAGTACTCTTTTAATATAAATAAAGACTGTAAAGTCCCTAGAAAGAATAAGTTTCATGCTACTTACAACTTTTGCATTCAATCAAGTTCCTATTGATCTATATAAACTTAAGTTCACTAAGTAAATATAGTGCTAACTAAAATATCCAAACTCAGATCTATTGTTAAGTAGGATAGTAATAGATCTTTGTTTACATAATTGTCTTGCTCATGTGATTTTATCTGAATATCGATCATCTTATGTCTTATTTTAGCATCCATGGATGCTGAAATTAAGAAATAAATTTTTACAATTTTTTTTACATATTATCAACAAAAACTAAGTTTGGTCTTTGTTGGCCTTTAGTTATTTAATGTTTTTCTAATTTTATTTTCTGGGCAACTACATTATATGTTGTGTTATTCAACTATACTAACTACCTACAATCCCAACTTGCAAATCTAATACACCCTTATCAATTGAGCCATATTGTAGATTACATAAGATCTTGTTTTGTAGAGCAACTGACTTCCTATTTACTAGTGTTAATATTTAAAATATAGATTTATTTATTAGTATATTTTAAGTAATACTCTGAATAGAGTGAACTGGAATCTGATATATATATATATATATACATATAAGTTATATATTTTCAACATTATATATATATATAGATATTTTAAACATATAATCAATTCTGTGAAATTTACAAGTTCTATATTAGTTTATAATAGTAAGTGATAACTTTTGGAAATTTTTCTGTTTGTTATAAAAAAGGTTAATTATTTCAGAATAAAATTTAAATTCAAATATATTTAATTTAGAAACTATAAAGTAAAATTAAAATTTTACTTAGTATGATCAATCAGTTTTACTATAACATCACTTTTTAAAAAAGAAGCTTCATGAAAATATTCACTTGCATACTACAAAATATATATACATATTTGATATATAAAAATATGAATACCACATATTCTATTTAAATAATATGATATCAAAGATAATGATTTCTAAATCTGTGTAATATTTTTTATAATATACAATTATTTATCATCATCTACCTCTTTATCTACAATGTAAAATAACTTATCAATTTTAATTAAATCAACACAATAATCAATAGCTGATGAATTAATTAATGCATATAACCCTAACTGACTAAATGTTTTCACATCAGTACTATCTTTTTTAACAGGCAATATTCACTGAACATATGCCAACATTACTTTTGATTCTTTTGAACTTATAAACTAAATAATATTCTACAATAGTATAAAAATCTTGAACTTTGAATACTAACAGTTATTGAGAATAGTTCATATAAATATCTACTTCTATTTTTACCATAATAGTATAATTAATCTGTATTCAGTTTTTATTATGATAAATCTATTTTGATCTAATATAATGGCTGTCTTTTGTTCTAAGCTGACCATACTTTGTTCCTGTTTGACTAAAAGACATAAGCTGCAACCCAGACACATCTGATATAGTAGAAAAATGTTTGTTAATTTTTTTTAATTCAGCCTGTATTAATTTGTGTGAAGTTGAAGGAAAATAGAAATCTTGTCTACCTTTTCCAGTGTAAGCCAGATGTTCATCATAAATTTTGGGCAAAATTGATAAGAAAATTTGGTTATATATTATTCAGTTAAATTTTAAACAATTAAAAATTTCATGTAAGTGAATGTTATTAGTAAGATTCTTGTACAGATGTAATTTTGATTTAGTTAGAAGAAGTAGTATTCCACACATCCTTTCAATTAGATATTGCCATGTCACACAACAGGGTTCAGTTTGAAAGATACTTTCTGAAACATGTATATATTATATATAGATATTTTTATTGTGCTTAAACATTCTGATAGCCTATAATAATACTCTTTTTCATAATGTCTATAAAATGCTAGAAAATATGATCTAATTTTATTTAAATCATCATATGTTATTATTCTTTTTTGACATAATTGTATAGTTTTTACAAACAACTCCATCCTTTGTAATATTTATTAGGCAATTGATTTTTAAGAAATAGTAGTAAATACATTGTAATCCAAGAGAACTATTCCTCTGCTTTATAGCTATGTTAATGCAAAACAATGTTTCACAATGGCTGACCCAAACTTAATAGAATGTTTTTTCATACTAAATGCATCTTATTTTCAATTTTATTTCACATTTCTTTGTTTAAAACATATTCACTATTATTTTAATCTTTATTAGTAAAAAAGAACCCATCCAATGAGCCAGCATATAACCAGCAATGTTCTCATAAAATAAGTGCATAATATCTATAGGGAATGTATTTGGGAAGTTGGTAGTATTGAGATTAAATAATATACTTTGTTTGTGAATACTATAATGTTTTATTGTTTGATTTTTTTCTAATTGTGTTTGTGCTTTTTGAATTTTTTTTATTTGTCTTTTGAATTCATTATGAGTTCTAATTAGTAAATTTTCAGGATCATAAGTTTTACTATTCTGATCACTGGATGGTTTGGTAGGATAATATATATGTGAAGAATAAATGCCTTTAATATTGCAATAGCAGCATCCTCTATATGAATTATGCCCTATAAGACATATTAATTTTGTAAGTGCAGGTGTGTCACTAGACAAAGATAGTACACAACCATGTAATGTGAATGTATCTTCATGTTGAACACTAGGGAACACTACTTCTTCATCTAATCTTTGTAGTTTAGCAGTGGTAAGAAATAAAAAAGAATTTAGATCTTTCAGTTCTTTTAGATCTGGTATAATTGTGAAGATCAAAAAATTTTCTTTTTTTATATGTATTTTAGGAGATAAATTTGCATTTATAAATAGCAGAATCTAGCAGTTATCTGTCCTCTGTTTAAAAATTTGAAATCCATTAATCAATGCTAATAATGCAATATCATATTTTTCTTTAAAAAATCCTCTTTGTACTAGGTCTTTATATCATTGACTATCAAACACATCACCAATTTTTTTACTATATTGATATTCTGGCTTTGATAGATATTCTAAATGATAAAGTAGATTTTTTGGTTGTTCTGCATCTTGGTATTGCATTATAAGATGATCAATAATTGGGAAATATGCAAATTTACAATATGTTTCAAGATCTTTGTTATTATGAAATTCAGCTTGATATCATTCCTTTTTGCAATATGGACATTCTGTAAGATTAGTATAATTGCTAGTATAAGTGCAACAGGTATTAATACACATATCTATCTACATGAGTTTAAATAGAATTAATGATAATAGTTTTTTTTTAATTAAATATAAGCTCATAGGTTTTGTAACTACAACCTGTATGATTTTAAAAAAAGCTTCATCAGTAAGATTATTTTGCACTTTAATTTTCAGAAGTCAAATTATAATAGCAAGTTCAGGTGATATAAAGGATATATTTTCTAATATTTAATTATATGTAAATAAATAAAGTTGCTGTAAATAAATAAAGTTGCATACTAGTAGATATTATAATGTAGTATATTACCTTTAATATCCATATTACTTGTATCTGTTATAGTTGAATTATTACTATCACTCTCTGACTCATTATTAGAATCTTCATATTCAAGTCTGCTCATATACTTATTACCATCCTCTAAACTATTTTCTAATTCATCATAGTTCTCAAATTCATTTCTACTTATTAAACTATTCTCTGATTTATCATTGTCTTCAAATTCATTTCCACATTCTAAACTATTCTCCTATTCATCATTGTTCTCAAATTTATTTTCACTCTATAAACTATTTTTCCATTCATCATTGTCCTCAAATTCATTTCTACTTTATAAACTATTCTCTAATTCAACATTGTTCTCAAATTCATTTTTGCTTTCCAAACTATTCTTCAATTCATCATTGTTCTCAACTTCATTTTTGCTTTCCAGACTATTCATCAATTCATCATCATCATCAAATTTTTTCTGCTTTCTAAGCTATTCACTGATTCATCACAATCTTCTAATTCATCTTCACTATTCAATTTATATACCAATTCATTTTCATGTCCTGAACTATCCTCTAATTCAAACTCATTTTCAAATTTATCTACTTCTAAATTATTATTAAAGTTGCTATAATTTTCTAAATTATTCTCATAATCTTGATAGGCTTGCAGAAATTCTTCTAAATTTAAATTAAACTCAACTGAATTTTGATAAAAATTATTGTTTGTAGCTGAAATTTGAATGTTATTTTGTAATGTTGAATCATTATTAGGACTTTGAATATTTCATTTATTATATTGTCAATGCCTAGTTTTAGCACTTTTTAATGTTCATGAACCACTATTATTATTTGATGAACACAAATAACAAGTACACCACACCAACATTTAGAAATTATATTGATATTTTTTTTTAAAAAAAAAAGTTATAATAATAAGAAAATTACCTATTTAAATTAATTTATTATATAAAAAATAGGAATTTTATATAATAAAATTAATAATACTAGAGGATGACAATCTTAGTGTAGTGGTTAGATTGTCATCTTTTAAGTAGCAAGTTTAAGATTCAAGTCCCATCTATGATGAAATTTGAAAATTATATCTGCATTATGGTACCTGTCTTCTGTCAATTGGTTGGCCTTATATAGCTGTAATCCAGATATACCAAGTTAGTTCTACTGACATTAGAAGCTTAAGGCATCTATATAAAGTGTAATGTTATATATACATAGAGGAATATATAACAAGTATTGCATAAGATTTCAGTGTAAACTTATAATAAGCTCCTAAGCCTAGAAGACTAAAGAATTGAGATAATAAAAACCTACTTTGAAATTTCTAAATAAAGAAGTAGCATAAACTTTTAATAGTACTATTGAACTGATTGAAGTTCATAAAACATCTTCATAAAAACTGAAGATTAAACTAGATATCAAATATGTGTAGAGAAGTATATAACCAACTAGGCAACTGAACTTATTAGAGGAAAGAATACAAAAGTATATTATACTGAGCCATTTGAATTAGTAGTCTGAAAGAAACTGCTAATTTCAAGTTGTGGCTAATAGAAGATGATGAAGAAGATGTTAGAAAAATAGATACTAGGGTTCTAGTAAACTTTACAAAGATAGAAATAGTGTAATGTAATAGTTAAACAAATAACTTCTATAACTACAAATGTTAAATAACTATAGCATATTGTATAAAATTAGGTTAATATATATAGGACATAAAGACTTTAGTAAGTTTTTTATTAAGAATAAAGTAGTTCTAAAGGTACTAAACAGTATCAAAAACTTGGATAAATGTAACCTTGAAGATGTTCTTATAATACAAGGAGATTGCATATACAAAGAGTTTAAATAGGCAAGACTTCTAGTTGATTTGCAGATATAACATCTAGTATAGAACTTATATAGTAATATATAAGCAGACTACTTAAATTAGATATCAAAGGTGTATATGTAACTAGTTGTAATCTCCAATGTAAGGTATTTTCTAGTGATATGCTGTATTCTATATATTTAAATAAAAATGTCACATCTTGAAAATAAGGTCTTTAACATTAAAAATAAAAATCAATAATATTTATATATAAAAAAGTTAGAAATTATAAATTTTTTTAAAATTTAAAAATTTTATTTATATTTATATATATAAAATAAATCTCTTAATATATATTTTAAATTTATATTATTTAAAAATATATTAATTATTAATTTTATAAACTTACTAAATAAGTATATTTTATATAAAAAATTACTATATTTTTTATATTTTGTAAGCCTAATTTTTTGGATCACAGGTGTCCAAATTAAAATATAATCCTTATCTGATCCAAGATCATGAGCAAAGTAACAGAAATGTTACTTATAGTACTTATAGTACTTATGTTACTTCAGTCATATATACATTAAATAACATATCAGCTTTTATTATATTTAGTAAATATATGAAGTATAAGAAATATCTAGTATTTATAATATAAATTGATTATAAATGTAAATAAACTATTTATTATAAATAAAGAGCATTTCTGTTTAGGAGAAAAGAATAATGATCCCTTCCTTTAAACAAAAAAATTCTCTAATAACAATAAATATCTGCTCCTAATAAAGTGAAAGTATTATTATATACAAACTAATAAACTATTATTAAACCCCATTGTCATCTATACAGTTTACTAAACCTACCATTAATTGCTCACTACAAGTCATATGACTGAACCACTAACATAATAGAGAAAGTTCTAATCCTGATTCGATAAAGAGTAATCTCAGGTTGAAACATACAAGAGAAGACAAGAGAAGACAAAGTTTAATAGAAGAATTAGTTAAAGGAAAGACTTGAAAAAGAAGACTAGTACTTACCTATAAATAAACCACCTACTAAATCTAACCTGTCTAATTCAACTTAACTACTGTAAGTTATACAAGAGTTGGATTAGAGTAGCAACAGACTTGCTGATTCCAGAATTACAATTTACAAGTACTTATTTATAAATTATTCTGATAAAAAATTTTTTAAATTTTAAAAAAATTTATCTTATATATAAAATAATATAAAGAACATTTTTACTTAATAGACAAAATATAGTTTATATAATAAAAAAAATTATAGTTTATATAATAAAAAAAATTATAAATTAAAAACTATATAATTTAAATATTTTTTATAAATTTGTAAATTGATAAGAAAAAATATTTAATTAAAATATAATAAATTTATTTTTAAACCTTAATATTATAGTATATATAATCCTAAAAGTATAGTTTAAAATAACAGTTATTAGATTTAATATTATTAATAAGTTTTTTAATTTATTTTATAAAATATGATGTATCAGAATTAATAATACAGCCTATACTTTCATATACGTACGTACGTACGTTTTTGTGTAACCAACTACGATTTTGATCAGATGACGTAAGAAGCACCGGTACAGAAATCGAGTAATACAATCTCTTAAAAGTAAATAGCCAATCAGAGAGTGCAAATGTTGACTATTCCGGATCAGCCCGACATGAATCCGAACAAGTGTAAAAGAAGAAAATGTTTAAAAATGTCGGGAATGAAATTTTATGTATAACAGTCCTAACCCAAATTTTTGTTTCACTCACTTGATTTATTTACGAAATCGGATTTCCTTTTCTGGTTTGTTTACCCACAAAAATAAGTAAAACCATCACGTACGTTTCACAACATTTTACATCGGATATATATAATGGAGGCAAAATCCATTATCGTTATACTAAGAATTCATGTTATTTCAAAAATGGTAATGTTACCGAACGAATGCCTTATTGAAATTTTTAATAATTTTCAAACTAATTATAAAACCTTATTTTCGTGCCTTCTTGTAAACCGTCGGTGGTGTAAACTCATTGTACCAATATTATGGAGTGAACCTACAATTTATTGCAAAGATAAAAGACTTATAAGAATATATCTTTTAGCTTTAAATTCTGAAGAGCAAACTTTACTGATCCCCTTTAAAATTATTCTTCCAAATTATCCAAAGCCATTATTTGAGTATGAAAGTTATACTTCGTCTATTGGTTTTAATTTAGTCATTGGTGTTAAAAATTGGCTTAAAAATGAAGGATATAATATATATTATTTCGAAAGAGATAATCTTGCAAATGCTATCAAATGCTCTTTAATTGCAATGTTTCTGCGAGCAAGTAAAAATCTTAAATATTTAAAACTTGACTACACTATTAATAAAATAACATTAGTATGTGCACTTTATAAGAATATCACACTGTCTTCATTGAATCTTCAACATAATAAACTTGGATTTGACGTTGGAAAAGCATTGGGAGATGCCATTTGCAAAAACACCACATTAACTTACTTGGATCTTAGTCATAATGTTCTCGGTTCTGACTTTGGAAAAGGATTGGCTGATGTACTTTGTAAAAAAATCACACTGACTTCTTTGGATCTTACTCACAATAATCTTCAGTTAAAAGGTGGGAAAGCATTTGCAGATGCACTTTATAAGAACACCGTATTGACTTCTTTGAATCTTGATGATAATAATCTTGGATCAGACGTTGGAAAAGCATTGGCAGATGCACTTTGCAAGAACACCACTTTGACTTGTTTAAGCCTTAAAACGAATAATATTGGATCAGAAGGAGGTAAATCATTAGCAGGTGCACTTTGCAAGAACACAACGTTAACTTCTTTGAATCTTCATTATAATAAACTTGGATCATTGGGAGGAGAAGCATTAGCAGATGCACTTTGCAAGAATACTACGTTAACTTCTTTAGATCTTAGTTTGAATAATCTTGGATCAGAAGGTGTAGAAGCATTAGCAGATGCACTTTGCAAGAACACCACACTGAAATATTTGAATCTTGGTTCGAATAATCTTGGACCATTTGGAGGAAAAGCGTTTGCAGACGCACTTTGCAAGAACAACTCTCTGACTTCATTGGGTCTTGGATCGAATAATCTTGGATCAAAAGGAGGAAAAGCATTAGCAGATGCACTTTGTAAGAACACTTCGTTGACTTCTTTGGATCTTGATATGAATTATCTTGGATCAGAAGGAGGAAAAGCATTGGCTGATGCACTTTACAAGAATAAAACTCTTAAAACAATTTATTATTTATAATAGAAATATTAATTCTACTATAAATCTAATAATACAAGTATTGAAATATCACAATAAATTGTGTCTAGTACTAATGTGTGTAAATGTAAATATATATAAACTAGCATATAATCCGTGCCAGAGGCACAGGAATAAATTTATTTAATCGGTATGTAATATTAAACTTAACCAATCAAATTGTTAAAATTTTAACAAAGACTGACAGTATCATTTAAATCACATATTTATTTCCTTGATTAGTCTCAACCTTCTTTTTAAATCACAATACAGCAATAGTTTACAATATATCAATTTATTTGAATTATTAACATGATTGTATATCAGTAATATACTTCTTTTTACTCGTAGTACTGCATTAGAAACGAATTTAACGCTTAAACTTCGCGACTTTATAGCATCACATGACTTATATTTGCATATTGAATGAGTTTAATAATATGTTTTAGCTTTCTGCTACATATATCATAAATAAAATATATGTTGTATCTTAGATTGAAACTTTTTAATTTACCCTAGATGGGAATTTTTTGAATTGTTTTTATAATAATAACAAATTCTTAATTTTGACTAGTATGATTCAGTCCAAAATTACAAAATTCTCATGCGGATTGTCTAATTCAGAATCGAGACAGATTTTATTTCGGGGTACATGTATGTTTTGTTTTATATTGTATAATTGTCCAGAGCGAAGCGGAGAACTCATGCTTCTATATGCTTTGATAATCGAAATTGCGATTTTGATGCTTTATAACAACAATATCAAAAATGCTGTTTCATCTGTGATGCCTGTAAAAATTCATGCACAAACTAGATTTTTCAGTGATGAGACTATTAATCAAACACTTTAGACTTCAGGCTTATACCAGTTTCCAGTTCATAGTAATGTTACCAAATCAGCTCTCATTTATACTAAACAACCTGTTAGTGATATGGGCTGACCCCGACCCATCGGCCAGGCGGGCGGGTGGGTCGAAGGTCGACGTGTACTTCTGTGGGCCAGCCCGGCCGATGTATAGCTGGAATTTCTTGACCAATAGAAATGCGTGGAAAAATCGGATGAATAATGATGAAAATACTTTTTTTATTACTTAGTTTTGTTTTTAGATTAATTTTTGTTTGCAGGGTCTTTTAGTTAATTTTAATGCAGAATTATTTGATTTTTCGCTATTTTTTATTTGATGCCAATTTTTTTTTAAATATGTATTTTATAATTCTACTTTGATGGTTTATTTTTATTGAACGATGTTTTTTTATATTTTTTAATATAATTTAATTTAAACTATAATTTGACTTAATTTAGTTATTTTTAAATTATCTGAGGCTAAATTATTATTATCTATTCTTATTCAATGATGAATCTTAATTATGTATAAAATGTTTTCAAACACCTTGAATACGATTTTCTAATGATCAAAAATAGTATTGTAACATAATTATAGCCATTTTCACTTTGAAAAAGATATAAATTATATGATTATAGATCAAAGATTTTTTTAAAAAATATGGTTAGCATGATTAACTGGGTCAAATAATTTTGACAGCTGTGTTGAGCTGAGAGTTTGGAATTGGCCTGTATTACTACAACTTGTTTATCTAATCAACTATTATACAGTTTTATAGACATTTTATTATAACATATTTTTAATACAACTTTGCTCAATATTACATTAAATATTTTAATTAATTTATATTATCAAATTAAACTGCTAAATAGCATGTCAATTTACATTACTTTCAGTTTTTTTTTTAGCTCTAATATGCCTAATACCAAATAAACTTATTGATTTATTACAAAATCTAAATATTTTATTATAGTATATTTAATAAATTAAATATTAAGCTAATTCTTTATATATAATTATTAATATTCAAATCTAAGTGATTCTTGATCATTCTTGTTAGTTTTAGTTATAGATAAATTAGTTTGAGTTTCTATCTTTTTATAATAGTTTAAAAATAGAATTATAATTTATATAAAATCTTAATTAAATATTGTTATATTCAATAATATAATATAAATAAATTGAAGTGTAGTGACTTAGTGAAGTGGTTAAATTGTTAACCTCTCAAGTGGTTAGTTAGGAGTTCAAAACTCATTGATAGTGAAAATTTGGAAAACCATCTATGTTATATCAGCATTACAAGAGGTAAGTAGTATTATGACAATGATACTCCATTGATCAGTTTGAATCAGTATCTATAACACAGTTATATCAAATAACTGGCAGGTCATAGGACATCTGCACAATGTTGGAGTTATACAGAAAAATGCAAACTGCATTAGGCAGTGCAAACCCATGATAAGTCCTTATGGTCATGTAAATCTATAAATTGTTGAACTGGAGCCTATTTGAAAAGACCTAAGTAGAGTGGTAGTACAAATTTTCAACAGTACTACTGTAAAGACTAGACCTAGAAAACAGATACCAATATGGAAAGAATTGGGTAGGCAAGAAGCTCAGGTAAGAGGTACCATCAACCAGGCTAATGAAAGTCTCAAACTGGAGGAAAAGGATCTTGGAAGCAGACTCTGGGGTACCAGGAACAGATTATAATTCTACTAAGTTATCTGGATTAGGAATCTAAGATCAGAAACAGAGGTATACTATAAGTATTAGGGATATGCTATAAAGTTGATGCTAAGGTTTGGGCAAACTTTACAAGTATGAGTCCTGTTAACAAAAGTCTAAATATAGGTATTTAGTTAGTAAAAAGACCTTCTAAAACCCTACAGTCAGATGACAACTCTAAAATATGTAATGACTTGACAGATATACAAACAAGGAGGTTATAGTTAGATTAGACAGCATTTAGATGTATAGGAACTTTTGCACTATTTGTTAATATAAGTATAGGAATCAGAGTATTTAAATAGGTAATCTCCTAATAAATTGTAGATATGATAGCTAGTATAGAATCTGTTATGCAGACAGACTATTTAAAATAGACAACCAAAAGTTATATATGTGACTAGTTGTATACTTACCTTGTACAAGTTATATAACTATAATTAAAATACAATAAAGGCAATAGCCACCAATAACTATAGTCTTAGCATAAGCAAAAAAAAAAAATAAAATAAAATATAAATAAATTAAGAATAATAATTCTAGTGTAGTAATTAGGTTAACATCCTTCAAGTGACAGGTTTAAAATTCAAATTTCATCTATAATGAAATTTGGAAATTAAATTGTATTATAATAACTATATTTTATTGATCAGTTGAATTGAAGAGATAATCTGTAATTTTAGAAATATTATAACAAAAGCTTAGATATCTATACAAAATATAATGTTACATATATATTAAGAAATATTAAATAACTGGTATTGTATAAGACTTCAATATAAAACAATAATAAAACTACTAGACACATAATACTAAAAAACTAAAGCATAAAATTCACTTGAAAATCTTGAATAAAGAGATAACATGAACTTTTAATAATACTACTGAACTAATAAAAGTCTTAAAAAAAACAACTAAAATAAATTGAATAATAATATATGTAGGGCAGCATATACCAACCAGGTTGTTAGGAATTACCAAAAGAAAAAAATCTTAAAAAACTATATTATGCTATCTGAATTGTTAGTTTGAGAAGTCTTATAGATTTTTTAAAAGAAACAGCTAGGATGAATCAAATAACAATATATATAAAAGAACATATATCAACTATAATACTGCAAATTATTAGAAAAAAAGAATTCTAGGATACTATTGTGACATCAAAATTGGTAGTTTATAAGTTTCATAAGTTTAGAATAAAGACAGAAATTAAAAAAAAAAGTATTAAAGTTTTAGTAAACTTTAAAAGATAAAATAGTATAACATAGTGATTAAACAGACAATTACTGTAACTACAAGTGTTAAACAACTATACTATATTGCATAAAAATAGGTCAGTATATATGAGATATAAAGCTTTTAATAACTTTTCTGTTGAAGATAAACTAGTTTTAAGAGTACTAATAAGAATTAGAAACTTGAATGGACAGGATTCTAAAAATGGTCTTGTAAAACACAATAGATTGTATATGTAAAAGGTTTAAATAGATAAGACTTCTAGTTAGTTTGCAGTTATGGTATCTAGTGTAGAACTTATATAGTAATATATAAGCAAACTACTTAAATTAAGTATCAAAAGTGCATGTCTAGCTAGATGTAATCTCCAATGTAAAAAACTTCTGAAGACACCCATGTTCAATAAATTTAAATAAAAGTCACTTTTCAAAAACAAAAACTTTAATAAAAAAATAAAATAAAATAAAGTAATATAAATAAATTATTAAGTTATTATATATAAATAAATAAGATAATTAATTACTTAATATAGATATCATAGTAATTAATCTTACTAATGTAATTTCTTAAATATATTATGAAAAGTAATATAATTATAAATATGATTTTATTCCAAATACAATACTTTTAGAAAACAACTTTGAAAAAACAACATACTTTATCTAGAACAACTATGTACTACAAATAACAGTACTTTACTTAAATAGCATCACCTTTCACCCAAACTTCATTACTTAACTAAAGGAAGGCAGCCTCTTTAAGTTACCTATTTAGAAGACACAATTTTGTTTAACAGACTACACTGCATAATCCTCCCTTATTTTCAACTATTTGAAGTTAATGTTTTTGCATATAACACTTCACCAATTAAGAAAAAACTTAAATCATAATTGCTTATATATTTTGACAATAATAAAGAGATTATTATTGGCAAAATTTACAAATATCTCCCAAAACTAATCAGTTTTCTATCTCACACTAAAATGCTATTATTGATTTATAAAATAACTATTATTACACTCAAATAGAATTAATTGAATATGCACAATTAATGTATTAGCAACTATTTGTATAAGCTTTTTGAGAAGAAAAATCTCTAAACTCAAACATAATGCTAACTACCTGGATCTTATTTATTTAATAGCAATTAAACATTCTTTATAAATTTCATATAACTATTCTATTATTAACATATCAAATTTAACTATTGCTGAAATTTTAAATCTAATAAATGTTTAAACAAACTTAAAGAAATCTTTTAAAATAATCTGTCATATAAGAAATTTATTTTTTATATTGATGAATTAGTAATAGATATTAGAACTAAACAAAGCTCAATAGGCATTGAATAGGATCAAGTTAACAGTAACAACCAAATTCTTCACAAATTCTTAGCTAAAATTTACTTTTGATTATTAGGCTATAAGGCAGAGCTTTTTTCTATTTTATTAACAATTTCAACTGTATCACATAATGTGATAGTTTAAATTTATACTAACTCACAATCTGTTATTTCTAAATTTTATAAACTTTCTATTCAACTTAATAATCCTAACAAACTCTTTAAATTTAATGCATAGCCTTTATAGTATACACTTCTAAATATTATTAAATCCTTTAATCTAAATATTAACTTTTATAAAGTTCAAGCTTATACAAACAATACTTTTAATAATATGCCTAATTCTTTAACAAAACAATACACTTTTTCTTTATCTTTAAACTTCCAATATATAAATATTTACAATCTTTTTCATATTTTATAATAGAAACAAAATCTTGTTAAACTTTCTATCAGACATTTTGTTAAAAATATCTGTAAAGCACACATATTGGCAATATGGTCTTCACAAAAAAGAAACAATAAATGAGCCCATATTAACCACTATATATACTGAAAATCTACATAGCTATATCTTAATTATAATCAAAAACCTATATCTAACTTTATTAGCTTTAAACTTAACCAATCTAAAATCTTCAAAATTAAAGTTCTTAACTTATCTACTGGTCAACTATATGAACTTATTTGCAAAATTCAAAACCATCCTTTATTTGACCAAATACTATTACAAGTAAACTCTTTCTTACTCTTAAAGGCCTTATACCTAAAGTCCTAATTAAAATAATCCATAATTACAACATACCTATCAAATAGCCTTACAAACTATTATTTAAATACTTTTTAACATTAATGACCAAATCTATAA